ACACTGCAGATGATCTTGGATCAGAGTGGACTTTGGAACTGCTTGTCAGGCTGATGCAGTGGAGACACACAAGGCTGCATTTAGCTAGAGAAGAGTTTTCGGAGACTAGGACTCTCGGATGCCCAGGGCAGACCCACATGGTGGACAGTTAACACCAGCAATTTGGAACCAAACTCTTAAAAGGATATTGCAGAGAAGAGTGTTAGTGGGCAACACAGGCAAGGAAGCTGAGTTCTGAAGTGTAGCCCAGTCCGAGTTTTACTGGGACATCTCTTTTCCAGGAGCAGGGCTGCTTGGGAGTCTGAATTAGTAACCAGGTGGCTCCTTAGCAAGCACAGAATATTAGTAAGAGCTGTACAGAGTAGTCAAGGAATGTCCACTAAAGACAGCAGAGACATATGTACGTACAGCATTCCTAGTCCCACAATACAGTTCACCCCTTAGGAGCCCAGAATGTTCACATCAATCAGATTCTAAGCTCCATAATGTTCGCTCAATCAACACACCACCTGACTGGTCAAAGGGGGCATCAAGTAGTGCTGAATGAATGAATGTATTAACATGTGTTGTTGCTATTGAGTGCTGCCATGCAGATTTTGAGAGACCCCGCAGTACAACTGCCCCCCAGGATTTTCTTGGCTATATTTATGGGATCTTACTGCCAAGTCTATCACCCACAGAGCCAGGGGGTGGGTCTGAACCACCAACCTTTTGGTTAGGGGCTGATAGCTAACTGTGCCATTAGGACTCCTTAGCTGGTGAATAAGTTAATCTTATTTACAGTACCTTTCCCCCTTTATAACACAGAGCCCTGGTGGTGTGGTGGTGAAGCACTGGGCTGCGATCCACATGGTCGGCGGTTCAAAACCACCAGCAGCTCCTCAGGAGAAAGACTGAGCACTCTTGTAAACAGTTATCATCTCAGAAACCCACAGGGGATTGCCTCGATGGCAGTGAACTGAGTTCCTCTTATAAAAAGTCCATCGATAGACCTATCACTGTCTCAGTGTACTCATGAGGAAACAATTTCCCCGAGGTGAGATCTGTTTCTACCTGCCAATGCTGGAGATAGTCATGTTTATATCTTGCAACCTTCTCTCTGGCCACAGCTGATTGGTCCAAGGCTGGGCATCTGACTCAAGTGCTGATTCATTGGCTGGACAGGAACCAATCAGATTCAAATCTTACAGTTTGACCTCAAAGAACCAGAGCCTGTTCAGTGGGTGGTGGCTGTCTCAACATGCCGAGCCTGCCCTTCACAACCACCACCACCAGAGGAATAAGCTGCAGCTGTGGCTGGCTAGAAACCACGAGAAGCAGGCTGGCCAGCAGCTAGAGGGGGAGGTAAGCTCTGCTCTTAAGTCCCCAGGACCCCCAAGAGGAAGAGCGCAGTATGCTGCTTTGGTTCATGCCGACTTTCTGGTTCCCAGCCTCAGCCCTATGAATATGGGATGGACACCCACCAATGCTCAGGTTTGATGAGATTCTGTCAGTGATCTGAGTGCTGCCCACTGCCTGCTGGCACCCTGGGTCTGAAGCAATGACTGGGGAGGAAATGAAAGTTGTCAAACTCCCCAACATTGAAAGGTCTGACCCGTCAATTAGGAGGGCGGGCCACAGGAGTTCAAAAGTCTTTGCCAGCACAATCCTTGAATCTCGGGTCCTAGAGCTCTGTGCCTCCGAGGAGGAAGAGTAAGTCCCAGTCTATAGCGAGGTGCTGGACAGAAGCAGAGGCTCAGAGCAGGGAGGCTGAAGCAGGGAAAGAAGGAGCATCCGCGGAGAATCATCTTCCCCTTCCTCCGCCCTACAGTCTTGAGGAGGAGAAGGAGGAAGCACCGCTGGACACCTGGGGGCCCCCCCTTTGCCACAGGAATCATCACTCCGCCAGACGCCAGAGCAAACCCTGCCTGTTGACAGGTGGAGTCCAGGTGGTCTTTGAGCCTCAAAGGCCATCCTGCAAAGGAGGCATTCTCAGGCACTGCTGCTGGCTTTCAGGACCCAGGGGTTTCCACGGGCATGACACAATGGTTGGTGCACATCCCAGCCTGGCTGCTGGTTGGCAGACCCAGCGAAGCTTTCTGCTCTATCTCCCCGTTGCTCAATGGAGACCAACAGTCCTTTTCTGGCCGAGGTCTAGATCCACTGCTGGATCAAAAAGGTTTTCCCTGATACCACAGCCTGATAGTCACAGCAGCCCCAAAGCAGAAGCAAACCCAAACGTCCATCAACAGATTAATGGACGGACAAAAAAAGTGGCATCTACAGACAAGGAAATAGCACTGAGCCACTCGTGTGTGTGTGTGTGTGTGTGTGTGTGTGTGTGTGTGTGTGGTGTGTTGCCTGTGGCCTGGCATGTGAGGTGCAGTAGTAGGTACTGGACTACTGCGTCCACACTCTCCACTGCCTGCCTGGTCCACACACCCCACCCCCGCCCCCCTGCCCCCAACCCTCCAAATCAGTTGGTGGCTGTGGTTCCAGCCGAAGGGCTCTGATGGGCAGGGGAGCCAAAGGTGACCACTTTACGGACACTTTTCCACCGGGGGCTCCAGGCAGGCCGAAGGGGACACAGGCAGAGTCTCGGCACTCACTGGACAGCTAAAGCCCTGAAGACAGGGATGGCGCTGACAGGGACTGCTGCTCCAGCAGAGGAAAGAAAGGCTGTCACACGCCCATCATGGCCAGGGTCAAAGGCACCACAATTGGGTCTTTGTTCCCAGGTTCAGAACCCTGACTCACTAGTCTGTGCAGTTTGCAGGATGCACAACC